GTAAAATCAATACATTCATCGTTTCGCTCAGAATCTAAAATATTTTAATTAAATGAATATTTTTTAAAGTTAAAGGCATAAAATATTTTCATTTGGATTAGAGTAGTTATGGTATATCTAATCATAGCATACATAATATCACCCTATAATCGCTTATATTTTTCTATTTTTTGYTAACAACATTTATGTTATAGAATTAATGAAACAATACACAGGATACCTTAATGACCCGCCTCCCATTTTGATCTTTATGATAATTATCAGTCAAATCGTATGATGAAAAATTAGAAATTACTTTATTATGTTGTTTTTCTTGAATATACTTCAMAGTGCAATTCTTTTTGTTTTATTCTCAGAAATATTATAGTGATTTTTCTCACTTGGACTGTCAGTAAATCATAATTCATAATAGTTACCAACCCGATGTTGTTATTGGTTGTATAACAATATAGTATGGTGTTCCCATACAGATACTTTATACATATTTATCTAAGCAGGACGTCAATATACAGCACTAATAAGTAATTATAATAAATTAACAACTGCACATATAAAATATACCAGGGGACTTATTTATACACAAATGACTGAAAAACTATAAAGACTTTCTTGCTGTTTTATTTTGATGATCATCAAATACAATCTATAAAGTTATGTTTAATGCGTTCAGTAGAAATTCAGAAAAAATAATGTTTAATATTTTTATAAAGCGATAAATAATAATGATTTATGAATTTAAACTACTGATAAACATTAAAGTCAAAACTAACAAAATTACTTTGTRTCTGCTAAACTGTATGATAATCGACAACATACCAATAATTATGAATGTTTTTTATTACTAATCATATTACTAAGTTTATACTCTGGACTTGTCACTTGTCRATTGCCAGCCACATGCCTAAAGTTAATTTCTGTAACACTGATGTATGTTATATTCCTCATAATTAATCAAGAGGTTAAAAATAATTCAACTCTATATGGGATGGTATAATGGGGATCTGACTAAAACCAGAATTAAGTAACATTGACACAAACCTTTTTTTGTCGATACCAGTACAACCATCAGCCTGTGRCGGTGATGTTGATGAAGATAGATGAGTAGGAGACTGATGTTGCTGTAGCAATAAACGATTATGGTTATGTTGACAGTTATTGTCATCGTCATCATCACCTAATTCAACATTTTCATTCTGCACGTGATATCCATCCCAGAAAAAATATTGACCATCATCATTGTAATCGTCATCATCTTCGCAAAAACTATCACTAGCATATGGGCACACACTGTTACTGCTTAAGCTACTCTGACGACGACCTCTGTAACGATTGTTGTCATTGCAATCATTGTAGTCAATCATTGAATTGACGTCACTTAACGCAGCTAAATAATACATATGTAAAAAAAAAATTAAAAAAATTTGTACAGTAATAATAATAATAATACAATATGTACAAATGAAAATACCAAAGCTGGGCACTAACTAGTTGAAAAGTTAAAGTTAAATTAGAAAGTTACTTAAAAATAACTTTCTAACTTAACTAATTAGTTTTAATTTATATTAACTTTGTAACTTAACTAGTTGAATTTAATGTGTAAAATAGTCTAATCTAACTCGTTAGAAAAAAAAGTWACTAGTTATTATTATTATTATTTTTTTTTCATTCCAAAAGCTGTTCCTCAATCATGACATTATGGCTAGGTTATATAGATTATTGGCTCTTATAATATATTATTAATTATTGTACAAAAATTGTATATTAAGAGGACGTTATACCCGCATGTGTTGTCTCCGTCTTACAAATGCGTAACATTGTACATTTTTCGCTCAGCAGAACACGTGTAGCTCCGTTAACTTAAAAATTAGAGTGAACTGACCTCYTATAAAATTTAAAGGTAAGATTATTATCTAGACAACCTCATATGCTTTTTATTATATATTAAATTTAAAGCAAGTTATGAGTGTTTTAAAATTGTAAATTTTTTGTGTATCTTAAAATACTCATAACTTCCTTTAAAATTTAAATATAATAAAAAGCATATGAGGTTGTCTAGATAACAATCATACCTTTAAATTCTATAAGAGGTCAATTCACTCTAATTTTTATGCGAACGGAGTTACATGTGTTTTGCTGAACGTAAAATTTACTATATAATGCATTTGTAAGACAGAGACAACACATGCAGGTATCACGTATTATATATTATATATTATATATTATAATATTATATATATTATATAGTACAAGTATTCCCTCTAGTGCTCACGTCAAGAAACTTTTAGTGCAGGAGGCAAATTATTCTATGAAAGGCGTGGGTCTTATGTCTGATGATAACTTTGAAATGTTAGTTCTGTTAAAATTTAACAAATATTTTGAATAAAATATACTTGAGTATAGTCATATCTATTATATTATGTATTATTATTTAATATTAATATTTTTAGTTGTCATACTGTTATGTATTTTTTTTTTATTTCGTTTCACCATTCATGTTCTTATAACTGATAGGTGATATACTGATATACCAATTAATTTTCAAGAAATTGAAATTATTAATCACTTAATTAGAACATTTTGACCAATTTACTAGGTGTTTAATTTAATTTTTCAGTTTTAATCAATAATTGAAATTAGATAACTTATTATTTACATCTTAAAAAAAAAAATGTTTAATTTATAAAAAAAAAACAAACTTCTAATTTCTACTCTAACTTACATTACTATTTTCACCAAATTAACTTCTAACTAAGTTAGAAATTTGGACAGTTTCAGAAACTAACTTATATTCTAACTTAGTTAGTTTTTTTATTAAAGTAACTTAACTTCAACTAGTTGAAAATAATAACTAACTTGCCCAGCTTTGGAAAATACCAAATATGATAATTAATAATAAGTCATAGAAAAATATAAACCTTCAGCATCAGTTAGACCAGTGTCGTTCATAGTTGATAGATTGTCATCAAGTTGTCTTGCTGTAGATGCATCAGGTAGACCTCTGGTAGCATCGTATGACATATCTGTTTCTTGACCGGTAAGAGCAGCAGCCTCGTCTGTTGTATACCCAGTAGTAGTGTATCCGTCACCGTCGGTCGTGTAATCATCACCGTCCCCACCGGTAGTGTATTCTGTTTCTGCAGCTACAAAGCTGTTGTTAGATTCATAGTCATTCAAACCTACCGAGAAACCGATGTGTGGGGTCCGATGTTTGCTATTTAGTAATGATGAAGATGGTTCTAACGATTCATCGTCACTCCATGATGACTCTACCGCCAACTCCATAACTCTTTGTTTACGGCTGTGTGAAATAACATCACCCGTAATTGTTGCGGGCCCTCTGGCAGCAGCTACAACGTTGTTCTTATGCTCCTGTAATATCCGTCTCACTTCGGCTTGCTAAAATATTATTATAGGCATTTTAATCATTTGAACCATAAGTATACAATAGTTATTATAAAATATTTCTGACCTGCCGCTTAACTTGTTCCGTTATTTGTCTTTCACGCTCCTCAAACAATGACGCTGATGAAATATTTGTCGTCGAAGCAACAGTAGCTGGAACTGATATTGTTGCTGTATTTGCAATATCTTTGTCGACTTGTTCACTATTTTTGTCATCTTTATTGGGTTTCTGATTCGTCGTTGCAACTATTGCAGTGCAAAGATGCTGTTGCTCTGATGAAGACAAGTGTTTAGCAACGTTATCATTGACTTTTCTATCAAAAATAAATAACATAATTATTGTAATAACGTATTAAATACTAATTACAACAAGAAATGAAAAAAACTGGGGACTGGGAGCGGGACCAAAAGACTTGGTTTCAGAAGAAAATCTATGAACAKGAAATTTGGTTGAAACCCATATTTTACAATGCTTAAAATCGGAACTAGAACCGAAATCTTTTTTAATAAATAATATACATTGTTTGGTTCTTTTAAGTTTTTACTATCGGTTCTAAGATTTTATTTAAAATGGTGTTTGATGAAATAAAATACGTACATATATTTTTAATGAAATAATATTTGTTTTATTTATTTAAGGTATTTTTAATTCGAATTAATCGTATTATATGACCGATAATGATTAATTTACAATGCATTTTTTATTGTCTCTGGAACAACGTAAAATATTTAAATGATATTCATATAGTAAGAATTAACGTCACTATTGTAGCGGYAGTTATGTGATCCTCTTTAAATAAATTTTATTCTAAGAGTCAAGATGTCAAGTTTAATTTACCTTAGAAAATATTAACCTAATACAGTGGATATCATGTACGAGTATGCGAATAAATGCTATATAATAGATATAAGTAATTTATCACTATTTATTTACCTATTTCTGAAATTTTAAATGGATACTCACTCTTTGTCGTCAGTGAAATCATCGCTTTGATTATTGACTTTTATTTCTTCTTCTTTGAATAGTACAGCCTGTTGTTGACGAATGTTTCCACGGTGTTGGTCTAATAACAATATACGCCGTATTTCATCGGTAAAATCTGGGCCCACTACACCACCAACTGTTCCTTGGTCTTTACTTATTATTTGTCGTCGCTGATGTTGCTGTTGTTTTTTCCATGCCAATGAAGACGATGATTCACACTTGTCGGCTGAAACATTTGAGGTGGTATTCATAATGCCTATAACATCTGGTATAACACCAGCTGGGGGTGTAGAATTCCCAGCTGTTGTTGCGTTGTTTTGTTGCTGCTGTCGTCGTCGACGACGGCGGCTGGAACTGTTACTAGCGCCTCCTGTAGTGGAGTTAGCAGAGCGTATGTGGCGGCGGTTTAACGATTGTGTTCCCCCAAAGTTGGTAGTGATAGTCTGGCCAACGATAGGTGGAGATCGCAATGATGATGATGACGCAGCAGTGTTGTCACCAGCAGACAGCGGTGAACGGAAAGACGACGATCGTCTAACAGGAGATGAATTAGCTGTCGTTGACGGAGACCACTGATGAAGCAGTAAATGTTGCTGTTGTCGGTAACGATGGTGAACGGATGATATGGCGACGGAAGTAGTAGCAGTACCTAAATTTTCAGTATTCACTCTATCAATGTCAGCACAGTCCTCTGTAGTCGTACAACCATAACTGTCGTCTGACGACGAAGCCGTGGTAGTGGTGTTGTAATTATTATTGGATGTTGTAGTGCCACCGGCATCTGTAGAACCAGATGACGATAATGATGATGGCGGAGATGACTCGCTGACAAAACTTCCCACGCTGATTGGTGAGCGGAACGAAGATGACGAAGGCCAGGCCGGGGAGACTACACCCGGAAAACGATCATTATTAATATCCTGTTTAGTTTCCTGTTGTTGTTTGGTCATTGTAGGTGGTTGATTGTGCTGACGACGCCGCCTCCGCCGTGGATCGTCACGGTTTCGATGTCGACCAGCTACAGTGTCAGAAGAGCGTGGTGGATCCGGTAGAGGACGATTGGCGTCAAACTTATTTGTTGATGCAGATGTTGTATTCTTCAGAAGCAATACGTTTGGGCGACGTACTTGTTGGGGCTGTTGATTATGCAAAGCGGTGTTAAGATTTGACACACCAGTAGAATGGTTTGATGAGGTACATGTTGTATTGGCCTCGGTAGTAGTTGGGGTGTTTGGCGGCGATGGTTGTTGTGAATCACCAAAAATTCGTACGAGACCATGGGGCACTGGCGCCAAGGTAGATGGGTGCTGTTGTTTTTGTAGTGGGCGGGCGTATGTGGCTGCTGTTGATGCGGTCGAGTTGGAGGCGCATCGGATTTGTTGATACTGTTCTTGTTTACAATGAGATAAATGGGGAATACCTGATTGTTGTTAAATGGCAAGAAAATAAAATAAAAGCATAAGTCAATATTCAGATACAATATATATTCTACTTTTTTTTACACGAATTTCAAATCACACATTTTTGTAACAAACATGATTTTTTTTTACTTCTAGCATAYAAGTTTTTTTTGGGTGTATTTAATTTTAGATCTATGGTTCTCAACCAGTGTTGGGTAGTATCGCTGTAGTAAAAATATATTCTAGAAAATATCTAGTTTAGAAACTACAAGTATGTTATAAATGTTATTATTATTGTAAAATTACGTTTTTATGTAGGAAATTTTTTTTCAATCCAAAATTAACATTACAAAATCAAATTTAGTAATTAAATTATTATAATAGAAGACCCAAGTCAGTATATCTGTTACGATAATATAATTTTGGCATTGTCACATGTTTTATCAAACCTACAACACGTGCATTGATCTATGTAGCAGTGGAACGCGAATAATTTAAAAGATACCAACGGTTTAGTTGATTGCAYTTTAATCATATAATACAAATAACATTCTTGATGCATTTCATAGATCTCCATCCTTCCCACCAGTTCATTGAACTATGTTTCTCTTTAAGGGACYATTAATGACAGAGTTTGGGTTAGAATATAAACTTTAACTTATTGTTGAAATACTAGTCCAACCTATCATGTGAGCATATCAAACAGTTAACTAAATAGGTACTAGAAAGCAAATTTTAATATATTAAATTCTTAAAAATCAATTAGTGTGCAATAGAAACAATTTTAAAGGTTTCTATATTACTTTAAGAATGCTAKAAAAAACACAATAGGCGAATAAAATAGATTTTTTCACATTTTAGGGTCACTYCTAATGTGACCAGAACCCAGAACATACTAAGTATTTACCTCGTGATTTATTCTGAATATCTGGATATCGATCGCGTTCTTCGCTGTATTGGTGTTGCATCGGATATTGCGTTTGTCGGGTTGTAACTGGTGGTGGACTTCGGGGTGGTGGTGGTGGCGGTGGTGTTTTTTGTGGTTCCAAACATTTTTGTCGCGAATCTTGTTGTACCACAGCATTGTAGTGGGAGTGTTTCGAGTGGACGTTAACAAGCGGTACTACATTGAGTGGAGACTGGTCACGTATGAAGTGCAAAGGTGTCGAGCGGCAGACGTTCTGTGATGGTCGTATGTGGGTCTGTAGATGGTTCTGCTGATGTAGTCGGTCCGACTCATATTGAWAAGGAGAATTTTGGTGCAGCTGTTGATGATGACAGTTAGAGAGTTTTCGTTGGATTGAGTTATGCTCATCATCTCGTTCAAAACTTTCACGAACGAAATATGTAAGTATCCTTTTATCCTTGTTTATCATCTTCGTTTGGGTATCGAACTCATACTTTGGATTTGGATAATGTATCAATTGCATAATGTTGACAACGCAACTGGTAACTTGAGTTCTACCTGGTATACTAGTGATGTCCATTTGTCTAGCCTCGTTTACCGTATTACCCCATACGTCAAAYTGCGGACGTTTCCAGATACTATCATTGCAGCCAATTAAGCCAGCTATAACGGGTCCAACGTTTACTCCTGTAAACATAAATGGATGATTATGCATAACTATTACAYACTACGATAAATATTAACACTGTAAGTTAATTTAATTTTCTGATGCTGTCAWATGAGTAAAATTAAAAAACACTTTAATCACGATACCATATTCATTTATTCTTAAAACTATATTTTGATTATTACGAAATTACTATTTTTATTTCACTATTGGACATTACTAAAAACTTAAGAGGATTTAATTTCAGCCGAGTTTTCTATCAAAACATAACTATCTTAYATCAATTATACTGACTATCCTAGTTAACGGATAAAACTTTTGAAAATATATTTGAAAACGTCTTTTACTGGAAAAAAAACTTTCCAGTTTTCAACATTTAAGTTTTGATAATTTAAAAAACAAGAAAGATAGGCATTGTCAAACTCTTAGGCTCGTGTGCAAGGATTTATTTTGAGGCCCAAAATTAATATTAGTATTATTAATTTTAAAATATAGGTAATAAGTAAGGTAAGACTACTTTATTAGTTTTACATTTTATAACTATCCCAACAAATCAATATCAATGTTACCTAATCTACTATTGAAAAATTAAATTAACTGAAAAAATAGGTCGTACAACTTTTCTCTACCAAATTTGGTATAGTTATACCGTGTATAACTTATTTTAATATTAGTATTCAAGAAGGTTGGTTTAATTTTTGTCAAAAAAATAGCATTGGTTTTATTAATTAATATTTAATTATTATAAATAAAGWCAATGTTACTATCGTATTTTATTATTGATCAAATTTTTTAGTCAACATCATATAACTGTAGAACGATGTRAATAGGTTCATGTTGCAAAAAGTAATAACTTCAAATTTAAAATTAAACTTAATATTTTAAAAATGTCATCACATAATTTAGTAACATTTTTAATTTTATAATTCCTCATGAATGTTTTGGAATTACAATGAAATAATACTGACATTGTTATTCTTAGTTCAAATATATCTAATTCCATTCAAATTTGAAATGTTTATGATAAGAAAATATGTTAATATATATATAATTAAATTATTTACTATTATTATCAGRTATTCGTTTAGTATGTGACCTACCGATCACGTGACCTACCGTCGTATAGGGTATTCGTTTTGTATGCGTGACCTACCGGACCGATAATTAATTTAAAAACAGTCAATTTAATTATATAATTAGGTTATTTTATTATTACAGATTACGGATTATATTCAATATCAGTCAACAAAATATCAGTATAAAAAAAAATGTTTATAAAAATTCTAATACTGTTTTTCAGAAGAAATAATCGAATAMAATTCGACTGCCAACATTTTAAAGTTTTAAACACGCGATAACGGAAGAACATGTACTGGTTGTACTGACAATATTGTCGATAATGTTAGAATGACAAAATATCTATTGGTAAAAACCAGTAAATATATAATATAATATAATTATAAAGATAAGCAAACATAGGTTGTCCATACCTACGAAATAGATAATCGTCTTKGTCGTAGATCACACACTAAACCCGGTAATACAGGTAGGTCACATACCAAACGAATACCTTATTATTATTATTATTTAATTACATTATAATATATATTATTAGAGTTTTAGTTTATAATATTAACAACTCATGGGACATATTGTTTTAAATTTTCAATCCTTCGTTAACAAAATCGAATATTTTATAAGTTTTTAACTACAGAATAATTTAAAATTGCGATTTTGATTAATTTTTGTCAACATTTTAACTGAAAACGCTAATAAGAATAATGATTATGTATTTGATTATGATTATGATTATGATAATGATTATGATTATGTACATTGAATATTTTTAAACTCCTACTAAAATAACTTATGACAACATTTTATTACATTTCTAAGCAATTTGGCGCGGAAAAACATTTTTAATTGATATTTTAAAAATTTTMAACATTCCCAATGATGACTATAATTAGTTCATTAWGAGTAAATATAATTGATTATTCAATTTTGAATTACAACAAAATAAGAAAATTATTTATTAATGTGTGAAAATCTAATATTGAAAAAATCTAACTTCAAAGTTCAAACACAAATTAATTTGACTTTTCAGTAGACATATTTATGTCCAAATCTTATATTTAAAGAAGCTTTAAATTCTGAGGGGAGCGAGGAATGTATTCAGGGGCGTATTTAAGGGAGGGCACATGGGGCCTGTGCCCCCCCCATTCACCGTATTTTATACTTATTTTTATTATATGAGAAATTTTACAACTCTACGCCCCATATATGCAAATTTGAACTTTTTGTTTGTGGGCCCTTAAGGGGGGGGGCCCTTAAGATATTTCTAAATACGCCCCTGAATGTATTGGTTTTACAATGATGTTTATTTCTTTTTCTTTTTCTTTTTTATTCTGTAAACACTTTTTCTCCCTCTATTATATAATTTTAAATAATTACAGACGACGTTTTCTACMAGAGATATTGCTTCAAATGAAAAATGAAAAAAGATCTTTTTTGTTGTATTTTAGATTTTGTTCCTTACGGTTTAAAGTTCGGATAATTTTAGCCATTTTTGAGATATTTATAGACATTTTRATTTTGGGAGTTTTTTGTTGTAATTCGGTTAGAAACATTCGTAAAAACTTGAAATATGGGTTGTTTACATATATTAGYCTTACCTAGACATGGTAAAATTTTCAAAACATTTAAGCGACTTTTTTCTTTTTAAATCTAAGATTTGAAAAATTTGAATAATCTATAATATATCTTAGGCAGATAAACCGTATTCGCACAGAATCGTTTTTCGTATACAATGATATAATATCATTGGATTCAAATTTAATTACATCCATTACAGTAACCYACTTGTAATCTATTGTACAGCAGAGCGACATCCAAGACTTACCCGCAATTTTTTATTAATTTTAACACTCGAAACAAGTAATTTAATTTTAGTTTTTGAATTTTAGATGACGAGCACCAAGAGTTGGAGGACAGCGTGCATTGGACATATTGCATACCCAAYTGTAACGGCACTGTTTGAAGTAAACATCATGACAAAATCAAATGAATTCAGAAATTTTATCAAATAAATAGATAAGTAAAAAAAAAACTAAAAATATAATGTTGTGGTTATAACCATCTGCATACACTATACATATTAAGTGTTTTGAAAGAAATAAAGGAAATTATTGAATAGTATAGTATTTGTGTAAATATGGTAGGCCATGGAATAACATTTGCTTATAAGAATACATATTTGAAACACACAAAAAAAGTTTTTTTCTTTATTATTGTCATGGTATAACTGTTAATATAATCGGTAGAGAGTTGAACAAAGCTTATCCGTTTAACTTTTTTTTTGTGCTAAATTTTTAAGTTATAGCTCAAAAGCATGTTGAGAAATAATATTGAGTTAAAGAMCAGGAATATTTAAGTTAATTATACCCATAATATTTTTGTTTAGTAAATTATTTATAATATTATATAAAATGCTACCTTTGTTTTGTAAGGTACTTATTATATTTGTTTTTGTTTTTAAATTATATTTTGATTATGAATATTGTTGGTATTTTAATAAACTAACCAACTCGAAGAACAAATTGTGTAGGATGTGAAATATTTGAGCTTCCTTCAGGAGTCACCATCGTTGTTTGCTGACGATGCAGAGCACGACGCATTTCCCGGATGAAATCCAAAGCAAATGTTATGTAATTTGCTGATATAATATTATATAATTCATATTCATTTTCTAGATCATTGTCAACATCTTCTCCGACGTGGTAATTCTCAATAAAATGTTTTGTTTCTTGTCTGTCAAAATTGCAAGATTCATCACATCTCTTTTTCATATCTTTCAGCAACATTACTTGTCGACGTTTTGGTCCATCATGATGTTGCAGGCCAACAGCTGCCATGTATGTATTAGTTCCCACCATTTTTATCTTTTCTATTAATCCTCGGTACTTCTGATTATCAAGAAGCTATATAAAAAAAAAAATAAAATAAAATAAAATAATTTAAAAATTGATTACAGTTTATAAAAATTACTCTATCAAATTCGCTGAATATGTTGTGAAGTAGTGCTAGCTGTTTATGGCAGTGATGACTGTTAGCATCGTTGATTTCATCACAGTTGATGTTAGTCGGCAATGATTGATCATGTTGTACAATTGTGGCAAACACGATAACTATGGATCGATAGCCACATTGATAGAGCGGTGGTGTCAAGTATGCAGGCGTATGTTCTTGACTTTGATGCTAAACCATAAAAATAGAATTTTACTCAACAGTTTTAAGTACTGAATTACGACAAGAATAATGTATAGTTGAGGTTTAAGAATATTTACAGTGGTYCTCATTGGTATCGGTCTAGTTTCTCCAATTATGTAATTCTGTTGGTGCGGAGTTCCTTCACATTCATCGTCAGCATCATTAGCATCATTACAGCATCTTTGTTGCAGTAAATTTGATACGTGGTCTGGTACGATGGCATGCAATATGCGCTTGTGGGCTTCACGCAACACACACAATCGTCTCATGTCGCGATCTACCTATATATAAAAAAATTRGCAAATGTCAGCGGAAATAAATAAATTATATGCAGGTAATTGGTAAGTCCACGATGTTCAAATACATTTGTTAATACTAAGTACTWACCTTAACCCTGTGATGTGCCCGTCGATCTTGTAATCGATGTTTGTACACGAAGCAGGTAAGTGTGGCCACGGCGAATGCAATTGCGTACACCGTAGCTGTAGCAGTGTTTAAGTCAGCCACTCGCTGTTGTTCTCGTTCTAATAGTTTTAATCTATATGAACAGAGAAAATWAAATAAATACTGTTAATAATAATATACTAGCAAAATAAAATATATACGATGTATTATAATGGGCGATAATATTAGTGTTGATAAACTACACACAGTTCGAMTACTCGTAGAATATGCAATAATATTTTACGCAAAAAATATGCACTTATTCGTCAAAATCTCAAAGTATGCAAAAGTATTCAAAATTTAATTTAATATATATAATTCTATGGCATACAAAATGTTTAATATGGTTTGAAATATGTGCAAATATAAGAAAAAATATGAAAAAGTCAAATACATCCTAACCAGTAACTCTAGTAATAATAATAAAACTTATAAACTCACAATCGTTGGTTTTCACGGTAGCCATCACTATGAACAGGATTGTTGATCATTTTATGATGGTCATTATTATTTATAGTGACAGTGTTGTTTGTTCGATGATTTTGGAACTCGTTAGACTTGTTAAAGAAAGATGGTATCGGAGATGACATCGAGGCAGCGACAAACACATGCCTGTGCGTAAAGTGAACGAAAGCCACAGCAAATACGCAAGTCATTACAAGCAGTATTCCAATTTTCATCCGCAGCGTTGGCAGCGAACCATAATAGATGGGAAACGCAATAGCAGTTGACATGTACACTAAACAGCACGTGAGTACGGCATATTGAGGCCACATACACGTCAGCGGACTTCGATGTTGTTGTGTTGTATTACTTATAGGGGTGTTGAATCCCCCAYTATCATTGATAATAGTACTGTGGGTATGGAGTTGATCGTATACAGTTTTTGCAGTTATTTCAACTGGTTCACAGGTAAACTAAAAATACATTTCAAAATAAGCATAAAATGAAATCATATTGACAAATGGTCAACACTGCTATTATATATTAGTTGYCGAGTACTCGAGTATCTCATTRTAAGATCAAAGAATACAAAAAACGAATTTTAGCAGAAATATAATTTAACRATTATTAAAAAATTAATAAAAATCAAAATATTTCATGGCTATAAACAACGTAAATATCCGAAAAGCTATTTAAAATTAGAGCTAATTTAATGYTATATTATAACGTTAGCCATGAAAAGAAAAACCTTAATGAATTTATAATTGGGAAACAGTAAGAAAATGTCAGAGATTTTGATGAATTTTGAAATCTAAATRCATATAAAAAAATAACTGTACCAGTGTATTTTTAATATTTTTCAAATACAATTAAAATAACTTATGAGAAACCTTAAATGAATCTAAAGGTTTTTATTGACAATAATTAAAAACAAATTTACACAATTAGAATAATTTTTCAAGACCATAATTAACACCAAAATGGTCAAAATATTTAAACATTTTCACTATGCKTGGAAAACGTAATATAAATATTAGGTCAAATTTTCATGTGTCTAMAATTATTAATAGGGAAGATGACTTGTGTCARTAAAATATCACCAAATATTCAAAATATGTATTTATAAGCAAAATAAAAAATAAACCTAATATAATAATTTTAAAAATAAAAATAATAACAAGAATATTTTTATATTTTATTAACTGAATTTATTATTTACTATTAGATTTATTTGTTCTACTTAAGGTGGAAAATGTGCGTTAAAAATAGTCATAACCCATTATATGACAAAAAAATAAAAAATAAAAAATAAAAATAAAATTGATGTTTTGGTTGTACTATTTAAAATAAAAACGTCAGGTGAGAAAAAAAATGATAAAATTAGTTTTAAAAATATAAAATCAATGAAATATKTCTTAAAAACAAAAATAAAATATGCATTAATATGCGTATAATCTCAAAACTAGCTTACTGAGAGCGCGAAACGTATTTATTTCGTAATCAGTTGTTTTTGTGACTGTGCAAAACAAATATGCAAGTCAACCCTACTTATGTTTCACATTTATATCAGAAAAGATGATGATGTTAAAAATCGATGATGACAGATAATGTAAGTAGTGTAAGTATGTAAAAAACAAATTGCATGCAAGATTATGATACATAAATATGAAGTTGTAATTGTTCTAACACTCACAGCATTTAACAAAGCCAAAAGACAAATGAGCAATACAGCGATTAATTCGCAGCAGGCACATGTCCAATAAAAGTAGGTGCGTTTCTCTTCATCTTGGTATATCCGTTTCAGATGTCTATGTCGTCGACGTAATAGATTATTGTTGTAGCTGTTAATCGGTTGTGAACGTTGTAGTCGGTTTTGATGCCGCGACGATGACGTCCTTGCTGTTGCTGCCATTATGGCATTCTCGTTTCGAAAGCCAAGTCTGCTCTCAATGTCACTGTCGTCAGACGACATACAAGACGATGCTCTTTCATTATTTAAACAACAAGTGAACCAGCTATGGCGGCCGTAACAACGACACCATTTGAAATAAAATTTTCGCCAACTATTACCATTATCTAAATGGTTATGAGTAGTTATCGTGGTATTTGTTCTGCCTTGAAATGGTTTCAATAGCCAGGCGAACCATGAATATCTACCGGGATGACAAACAAAAAGTCGGCCTAAGTAATTATCATCGCCGTTACTGCTGATACTAGTATCACTATCATTGTTATCATAGTGATGATAATATTCATCATCATCAGCAATAATGGCGGTTGCGTAAGTAGTGCTGTAAAACTTGGGACGAGGAATCCAATCGATTAACAAGGCCATCACATAGATAAGTTCTCCCTATTCGTATACAAAATTATATTGATTAGACATTTATTTTACGAGTACTAACCATAGACATAATATAGATGGACTGCGCGTTCCTCCCACATCGCCATCAATAAATTCAGCCTAAATAACAAGACCGGAGAAGGTAAAATATCATGGATAAAACATTTTTAYTGTTTTTATTCCAAGGTATTATTTTGTGTAAATAAAAGTGATAACTGATAAGACAATAAACATGTAAAATGTAAAATATATACCTTAATTATTTATTTTTTTAAGAATCAAAAAAAATTTAAAGGCATGGTACGATGGTTGTATTTTTTTAATTGTTTTAGTCCATATCACTGCAATTTGTTCATTACTCGGAAATCTTAAAAACATAATATGTCAAATAGTTAAATGCATTAAAAATATAAAAGTTATTAAAATTCTATAATTTTTTAACTTACTTATGCATATGAATATCATCCTTACCAATGTTTCTACAGCTTTTAATAGAACATATATTTACCATTAATGYTCGAATCTTCTTTRGGAAAGCGAATGAAGTTAAACATGGGTTTAAACRTAAAACATCAATGGTTAGGGGAGAAAATGGAACGTTACTGACCGATAACGGAAAAATAGCAGATGAGTTCAAAAAAATGTTTAACACACTTTTAAACCAACCTARTGAAAGGACAATTATAGAAGAACGTGCAACAGTAGAACAAAACATAGAACCACCATCAAGAGCAGAGGTAGAAGCTGGTATTGAAATGCTCAAAAGCGGTAAGGCAGCGGGAGAAGATGAGATAATTTCTGAATGCCTTAAAAAGGGAGGACAACAACTAATAAACCAGCWRCAYAACYTAATTACTAAAGTTTGGGAACAKGAAGAAATACCAAGATCGTGGCGTACATCTGTTTTATGTCCTATTCTTAAAAAGGGAGACCCCATGAATTGCAAAAATTATAGGGGAATCTCCCTTTTGAACACGTCATATAAGATACTGWCTAATATTCWACTTACTAGAATAAAACCCTATTTACGAGAAATTATTGGAGATTACCAGGGAGGGTTTATGACAGGGAAGTCAACCCAGGATCAAATACATGTYATTAAGCAAATGATCGAAAAAAGCCATGAATTTGACAAAGATATACACCTCCTTTTTATTGATTTTAAGGCCGCATATGATATBGTGAATAGAGAGAAACTATGGAGCGCTATGTGCCAATTGGGCATACCTGAAAAGTTTGTAAGACTAGTCYGTGCTWGTGTACAAKGATCAAAGTGTAAAGTGAAGTTCGGAGATGCCGTATCGGAGGATTTTGAGGTGGTGACAGGGCTTAGGCAAGGTGATGCCTTGTCCCCAGCTCTTTTCAATTTAGCAYTGGAATCAGTCGTAAGAGATACCCTAGTAACAGCAAGTGGAATTAAAATTGGAATTGACAAACAACTAATTCTAGCTGCCTATGCWGATGATTTAGTGATAATGGCAGAAAATGAAGAAAATCTAAAGGAGACAAC